AGGCTGGTGAAGGGCCCCTTGTTCACAGACAATTAACAGAAGGATCGCAGGAGGGCCGGTTAGAAACTCCGCCAGGACTCCCCGCACAAAGGCTGCTTTAAAAGCCCTTCCCGCGCGCGGTGCTGGCAGAGGAAGGGCTGCCTCCCCAGAATGTTCCGTGTGAGCCTCGTGGTCCCTGGGACGCGGACATCCAGAGGAGCAGCGAGAAGCAGGGAGCGGGGAGATGGCGGGCCGCCCTGACGGGGGAGGAGGACAGGAGAAGAGCTCGGGGCTGAGCAGACCCTCCATAGCCGTCCCAGCGACGAGGGCCCGGAGGTCAAGGCTGTGCCTTGGGGGAGTCAAGGCCAGGATCCCAGATCGCAGTCCTCCACCCAGCCCGGACCCCTGAGGGCGCAGGAGGGGGAAGGGGCTGCCCAGGCTGCACCGCAGGGGCTCTCCTGCCGACCTGCCGACCAACCGCAGGGCCTGTGCGCCCAGGGCGGGTGCAGAACCCGGACACCATGGGGGACGGAGATGCTAGCAGATGGGGGAGGGGAGGAGGGAGGGAGGGAGGAGGGGAGGAGGGCGGGAGGGAGGGAGGGAAGAAAGCAGGGGAGGAGGGGAGGAAGGAGGGGAGGAGGGGGAGGAAAGCAGGAGAGGAGAAGGAGGGAGGAGGGGAAGAAGGGGGAGGGAGGGAGGAAAGCAGGGGGGGAGGGAGGAGGGGAAGAGGGGAGGAGGAGGGGGGGAGTGCTTGCTCTCAGTTTATCACGGGTGTGCCTGTTATTGTGGGTCCTGGGCGGAGGCGGGCAGGTGCCGTCTGGACCTCCGTGAAGTGACCCCATTCTCATCGAAGGTCATGCAGGAGCTTGGCGGCCGGTTGTGATCAGTGATTGTCAGTGAGCGCCTTTATGCCTCTGTAGGCACCTGGGCGGGAACACGGAACACGGGACAGGACGATGCTGTTTTTCATAAACGCACAGCCCGCCTCTCCTTGTGAGCGTGACTGCTGTGCCCAGTGTTGGGGTAAACCTGATGTCGGGGTGTCCCCCTCCCCCTGTCTTCACCACAGGGCTGTTCCCTCCTCGTGTCCCGGCTCCTCTTCCTGTTCACTCGCACGCGATGTAAACAGCGGACGGCAGGAGCCGCACCATCCGGCCCAGCCCACCGCCCGACTAAAATAGCCTCCGAGGTCCTGACCCCACGCTGGCCTCTGGTCAGGAAGTGCAGGAGGAGGAGCCGGGCTCGGAGAGGGCGCCCGGTCCCCATCCGGGGTGCGGAGAGGAGAGGGCGCCCGGTCCCCCGCCAGGCCACCCATTGGCGCCGGGAACCAGGAAGTGGCAGGTCAGAGTCCCAACACCGAGGACCCCGAGGCGGGCGCCCTGGGCGGCAGGGAGGGCGGTGTGGCCAGGACCGGGCCGCTTTGCCAGCGATGGGGGACCTAAGGAGGTCTTCCCAGCGGCCGCACCAGGAGGCTGTGGCACCGCGGGCCAGGTGGGCAGTCTTCCTGAGGCTCGCCCACAGAACTGGTGTCTGTCCGTCCGCCTCCGGCCTGTGGGTCCTCGGTCCCGCCCTGAGAGTGCCCACGCTCCAGTGTGGCTCCTCGGCAGCTCGCCCCCTGGGTGCCGCGCTGGGCTCTGCCTCGGCCGGGAGTCAGTGCCTGGCAGGGAGACAGTGCATCGAGGGCCCTCATCTCTGCAGCCTTGGCTCCGAGCTCTGAGCCCGTTTTATCTCCCAGAACCGTGGGCTGCCATGGCCCGGCCGTGGCCTTTGCGTGGCCTCCATTCCACACGCTCCCAAGTGGGGAAGTCTAGGCTGGAGACACGGCTGTGGTGTCGACGGCTCCGTGGCTTCTCTGTCCGTTCCTCCCAGCCCCGTTCTGGGGCGGAAAGCAGCCGCCCGTGGTCTCCGTGGCGTTGTGTGGGCCATGGTGGTCTGTCCCATTGGGGAAGCGTCGGACAGGCCCCGTCTTAACCCTCCCAGACCCGTGGCCTGGAGGCCTGTGCTGGCCCTGGCATAGCCCCGGTGGAGGAGCTGCTCATCAGTGCATGTGGGAGGTTCTGTGGGATCCGTGGGGCATGTGGGGTCCGTGGGGCGTGGGGTCCGTGGGGCGTGTGGAATCCGTGGGGCGTGGGGTCCGTGGGGCGTGTGGGATCTGTGGGGCGTGGAATCCGTGGGATGTGGGATCCGTGGGGCGTGGGGTCCGTGGGGCGTGGGGTCCGTGGGGCGTGTGGGTCCGTGGGGCGTGTGGGGCGTGTGGGTCCGTGGGGCGTGTGGAATCCGTGGGGCGTGGGGTCCGTGGGGCGTGTGGGTCCGTGGGGCGTGTGGAATCCGTGGGACGTGGGGTCCGTGGGGCGTGTGGGTCCGTGGGGCGTGGGGTCCGTGGGGCGTGTGGGATCCGTGGGGCGTGTGGGTCCGTGGGGCGTGTGGAATCCGTGGGATGTGGGGTCCGTGGGGCGTGGGGTCCGTGGGACGTGGGGTCCGTGGGGCGTGTGGGTCCGTGGGGCGTGGGGTCCGTGGGGCGTGTGGGTCCGTGGGGCGTGGGGTCCGTGGGGCGTGTGGGTCCGTGGGGCGTGGGGTCCGTGGGGCGTGTGGGATCCGTGGGGCGTGTGGGGTCCGTGGGGCGTGTGGAATCCGTGGGACGTGGGGTCCGTGGGGCGTGTGGGTCCGTGGGGCGTGGGGTCCGTGGGGCGTGTGGGTCCGTGGGGCGTGGGGTCCGTGGGGCGTGTGGGTCCGTGGGGCGTGGGGTCCGTGGGGCGTGTGGGATCCGTGGGGCGTGTGGGGTCCGTGGGGCGTGTGGGTCCGTGGGACGTGTGGGTCCGTGGGGCGTGTGGAATCCGTGGGGCGTGTGGAATCCGTGGGACGTGGAGTCCGTGGGGCGTGTGGGTCCGTGGGGCGTGTGGGGCGTGTGGAATCCGTGGGGCGTGGGGTCCGTGGGGCGTGTGGGTCCGTGGGGCGTGTGGGGCGTGTGGAATCCGTGGGGCGTGGGGTCCGTGGGGCGTGTGGAATCCGTGGGGCGTGGGGTCCGTGGGGCGTGTGGGTCCGTGGGGCGTGTGGGATCGTGGGACGTGGGGTCCGTGGGGCGTGTGGGTCCGTGGGGCGTGGGGTCCGTGGGGCGTGTGGGATCCGTGGGGCGTGGGGTCCGTGGGGCGTGGGGTCCGTGGGGCGTGGGGTCCGTGGGTTGTGGGGTCCGTGGGGCGTGTGGGATCTGTGGGGCGTGGGGTCCGTGGGGCGTGGGGTCCGTGGGGCGTGGGGTCCGTGGGGCGTGGAGTCCGTGGGGCGTGTGGGTCCGTGGGGCGTGGGATCCGTGGGGCGTGTGGGTCCGTGGGGCGTGGGGTCCGTGGGGCGTGGGGTCCGTGGGTTGTGGGGTCCGTGGGGCGTGTGGGTCCGTGGGGCGTGTGGGTCCGTGGGGCGTGTGGGATCCGTGGGGCGTGGGGTCCGTGGGGCGTGGGGTCCGTGGGGCGTGGGGTCCGTGGGTTGTGGGGTCCGTGGGGCGTGTGGGATCTGTGGGGCGTGGGGTCCGTGGGGCGTGGGGTCCGTGGGGCGTGTGGAATCCGTGGGGCGTGTGGAATCCGTGGGGCGTGGGGTCCGTGGGGCGTGGGGTCCGTGGGGCGTGTGGGTCCGTGGGGCGTGTGGAATCCGTGGGGCGTGTGGAATCCGTGGGGCGTGGGGTCCGTGGGGCGTGTGGGTCCGTGGGGCATGTGGGTCCGTGGGGCGTGTGGGATCCGTGGGGCGTGGGGTCCGTGGGGCGTGTGGGTCCGTGGGGCGTGGGGTCCGTGGGGCGTGTGGGATCCGTGGGGCGTGGGGTCCGTGGGGCGTGTGGGTCCGTGGGGCGTGTGGGATCCGTGGGGCGTGGGGTCCGTGGGGCGTGTGGGTCCGTGGGGCGTGTGGGTCCGTGGGGCGTGTGGGATCCGTGGGGCGTGGGGTCCGTGGGGCGTGGGGTCCGTGGGGCGTGTGGAATCCGTGGGGCGTGTGGGTCCGTGGGGCGTGTGGGTCCGTGGGGCGTGGGGTCCGTGGGGCGTGTGGGATCCGTGGGGCGTGTGGGGCGTGTGGGTCCGTGGGGCGTGTGGGATCCGTGGGGCGTGTGGGATCCGTGGGGCGTGTGGGTCCGTGGGGCGTGTGGGATCCGTGGGGCGTGGGGTCCGTGGGGCGTGTGGAATCCGTGGGACGTGGAGTCCGTGGGGCATGTGGGTCCGTGGGGCGTGTGGAATCCGTGGGGCGTGTGGGTCCGTGGGATGTGGGGTCCGTGGGGCGTGGGGTCCGTGGGACGTGGAGTCCGTGGGGCATGTGGGATTGTGGGACGTGGGGTCCGTGGGGCGTGGGGTCCGTGGGGCGTGTGGGATCTGTGGGGCGTGTGGGTCCGTGGGGCGTGTGGGTCCGTGGGATGTGGGGTCCGTGGGGCGTGGGGTCCGTGGGGCGTGGGGTCCGTGGGGCGTGTGGAATCCGTGGGGCGTGGAGTCCGTGGGGCATGTGGGTCCGTGGGGCATGTGGGTCCGTGGGACGTGGGGTCCGTGGGGCGTGTGGGGTCCGTGGGGCGTGGGATCTGTGGGGCGTGGGGTCCGTGGGGCGTGGAGTCCGTGGGGCGTGTGGGTCCGTGGGGCGTGTGGGTCCGTGGGGCGTGGGGTCCGTGGGGCGTGTGGGTCCGTGGGGCGTGGGGTCCGTGGGGCATGTGGGTCCGTGGGGCGTGTGGCTGGGAGTCACACAGCAGCTGTCGGAGGCTCTCGGCCTCTCCCCTGCATGATGGGGTGACTGGGCAGCTGCACCCTGGGGTGAGGACACGTGGGCCACACTGCCCAGGCGGGAAGTGACCTGGTGGCCAGCGGGGACGTGGTGTGTGCCTCCCGGCTCCCAGGGCTGCTAGTGGGAAGGTGGCCTTGCCTCTCAGCGCCGTGTGCCAGTCACGCGGCTGGCCTCGGTGACACGGCCCACGTCGCGGCGGGGACACGGCTCTCGCTCCGGCTGAGCGCCGTGGGGCCGCCGGGACCTGCCCCTGCAGACACAGCCACGCCCGCCCTGTCCCGCAGAGGCCCTGGCCCGCTCCGTGGGCATGTCCGAGAGCCCCGAGGGACCCAGAGCCGCCGCTCCGCCCCTCCCGTGGGCCCTCGCCGCCTGCACCGCCGCCGGCAGCCCCGGTGCCGGGAGGGCCAGGTCAGTGGGCCGCCCGGCCGGGCGTGGGGGGGCCGCCCTCTGGCTCCTGTCCTCCCTGCGCCCCCTCTGACCTTTGCCTCCTCAACAGCCCCCTGTCTGCCGAGCACCCGTGGGTGGACACCGGCCCCAAGCCCATGCCCGCCCCGCCCGGGAGCAGCCGGCCCCCCAGAAGCCTGCTGGGCCCCAGCGAGCTCCCAGGCCCCGGCCCCGGGCGGCCCCACCTCCCGCCCGCCGAGCCCCCCGCCCTCCGCGGCCACGCGCTGGCCGAGCCCCCCGAGGCGCTGGACCCCCCGAGCAGCCCCGCCTTCCTGGGCTCCGGCGCAGCCCCCAGGGGAGGCGGCCTGCCCCCTGCCCAGGCCCCGGGCGCCCTGCGGGCAGCTGCGGCGACTGCGGACAATGGCTTCCTGCCCCCCTTCCTCCCGGGGGGGCACGGCTACGGCCCCCTGACCGGGCAGCCGCCGCTCCCCGAGAAGAAGCGGGCCTCGGAGGGCGACCACTCCCTCGGCTCCATCTCCCCCACCTCCAGCGGCTTCTCCAGCCCCCACAGCGGGAGCACCATGAGCATCCCCTTCCCCAGCGTGCTCCCCGACTTCTCCAAGCCCCCCGAGGCGGCTCCTGCTCCGGGTACGTGGTCCCTCTGGGGCGGCCTGGGGGAGCCGGCCTCTGTGCCGAGCTGGCCCCTCCCTCCCCCCCCCCCCGCCTCGTCCGGCCTACCCCCTCAGCGCCCAGGAGCCCCCCTCCCCCCTCCCCGCTTCCCCTCGGCCCCGCGGCCCCGGAGCCTCCTGCCTTCCCACCTCGGCCCGCGGATCCCCAGAGCCTCCCGCCTCCCCCCTCCTCCCGCCCCCCCCTCGGCCCCGCGGCCCCGGAGCCCCCCTCCCCCCCTCCCCGCTTCCCCTCGGCCCCGTGGCCCCGGAGCCTCCCGCCCCCCCTCCCCCCGCCCCCCCCTTGGCCCCGCGGCCCGGAGCCTCCCGCCTGCCCCTCCTCCCCCCCCCTCGGCCCCGCGGCCCCGGAGCCTCCGCAGGGAGAGGCAGCTGGGCCACGGGCGCGCCCTTCCCTCGGAGCCAGGGCCTGAGGAATGCTTTGGTTTCGAATTAAATGAGTTCATGTCAAGTTCATCATTTTACATTCCAAGGTCTTTGGTCCCAGGAAGCACAACTGGCCTTGCTTTGTACCATGTCTGTCTGTCTGCTTTTTAAATGAAGGAAGAACTCCCTTTTTAAGAGGTGTACATACAGGGTTTTTATTGATTTCAGGGAGGAAGGGCGGGAGAGAGAGAGAAACATAAGTGATGAGAGGATCATGGATTAGCTGCCTCCTGCACGCCCTGCACTGGGGATTGAACCCACAACCTGGGCCCGTGTCCTGGCCGGGAATCCAACCGTGACCTCCTGGTTCCTAGGTCAACACTCAGCCCCTGAGCCACGTGGGCTGGGTGGGCCCGTCTGTCTGAGGACATGTTGGGTGCTCCCAGAGGCTGGCCTCCGTGTCTCACCCCGTGTTGCACAGCCCTCCTCACACCCCGTCCACCAGGGGGAGGCCCCTACCGCCTGGGAGGTGAGCGCTGGTGACACGCAGCTCCCAGCCTCCATCTCAATCCGTTCTGCAGAGGACCCGGGTGAGAAGCAGGTGACGGTGAGCTTTGTGCAGGACACCTCCAAGTTCTGGTACAAGGCGGACATCTCCAGGGAGCAAGGTGCGTGCCGGCTCGGTCAGCGTGGGGGGGGCCCGGGAGGGGCCGGGCGCCGCGGGGCCAGGCGGGAGGGAGGGAGGGCGGGCGACTCCAGGGTGGATGGAGGAGCTGGGTCCGGGAGGGAGCTCACCGCGTCCTCTCTAGACGGCTGTAAAGGGGGCCACATCCCAGGCAGGCCCAGCGGTGGCCGCCGGGCAGCGCGTGTGGCCGCTGCCTTTAGGGTCGGAGCCACGGGGACTTCAGGAAGAGGGGAGGGGCGCAGCCTGCGGAGCCATGGCCGTGTGACGGGTCGTGCGCCCCAGGTGCCTCTGAGCTGAGCAGAAGCTCGGAGGGAGCGGCCGCAGGAGCCGCTGGGCCTCCCGCCCGCTGCCCGAGGGCCTGTGGGGGCCCGGGACGGACCCTGGCGTCACCCGTGTCCCTGCCTGCCCCTCCCCGTCTGCTCTTTGCCCGAGAGGCCCCCTCGGGGCTGGAATTTGTGTGACTTTATGCCTGAACCCTCTGGTTTTCTCCTCTATAAACACCAGACCCGGGGAGGAAATCCTGGTTGTTACCAGAGGGACTTGGGCTGGGTCTGGGCACGTCACCCTGAGGGCGCTGTCCCCGGCACGCCCCCGCCTCCCCCAGGCCGGCCAGGCCGCAGGGAGGGTTGGGGAGCAGTGAGCAGGATGCCACGTCGCCTGGGAAAGACAGCCGGCCTGCCAGCTCCTGTCGGCCGAGTTGGCTGGTGGTCCTCGGAGGGCTTGGGCCAGGCTGGCGCGCCGTGCCCGGGGCCCCCTGGAGTCTGTATCGACACTGAGGCCCGTGCACGGGAGGGCGGGGGTCCCCTCAGCCCAGCCTGCACCCTCTCCAGTCCGCCACCCTCCGGGATGTCCGACTGCTGCTATCAGGCCTCAACCGGCAGTCCGACATCCCTCACAGTCCTGGACCGCTGGCTCCTAACCACTCACCTGCCTGCCTGCCTGCCTGGTCACCCCTAACTGCCCCCCCTGCCAGCCTGATCACCCTAACTGCTCCCCCTGCCAGCCTGATCACCCTAACTGCCCCCCCTGCCAGCCTGATCACCCTAACTGCCCCCCCCTGCCAGCCTGATCACCCTAACTGCCCCCCCCCTGCCAGCCTGATCACCCTAACTGCCCCCCTGCCAGCCTGATCACCCTAACTGCCCCCTCCCTGCCAGCCTGATCACCCCTAACTGCCCCCCAGCCAGCCTGATCACCCCTAACTGCCCCCCCCTGCCAGCCTGATCACCCTAACTGCCCTCCCTGCCAGCCCGATCACCCCTAACTGCCCCCCTGCCAGCCTGATCACCCTAACTGCCCCCCCTGCCAGCCCGATCACCCCTAACTGCCCCCCTGCCAACCTGATCACCCTAACTGCCCCCTCCCTGCCAGCCTCGTCACCCCTAACTGCCCCCCTGCCAACCTGATCACCCTAACTGCCCCCTCCCTGCCAGCCTCGTCACCCCTAACTGCCCCCTCCTTGCCAGCCTGGTCACCCCTAACTGCCCCCCCTGCCAGCCTGATTACCCCTAACTGCCCCCCACTACTGGCCAGGTTGCCCCAGACAGCCCCCCACCGGCCTAGTTGTCCCTCACTGCCCCCCCCTGCCAGTCTAATCTCCCCTAATTGCCCCCCCTGCCGGCCTGGTCACCTCTTACTGCCTCCCCTGCCAGCCTGGATGTTCCCAACTGCCCCCCCTGCTGGCCTAGTTGCCCCAGCAGCCTGCTGTTCAGTCATTTGGTTGTTCCCTCACTAAACCCCTTGCCAGCCTGGTTGTCGGCAGCCATCTTGTGAGGGTGTGAGGGTCAGTTTGCATGTTGCCTCTTCATTGGATAGGATTGAACACTGAGAGCACTTCGGGCGGCCCCATGTGGGTGAAAACCTTTCCTTCTGTGGGAAGCTGCCTCCCCAGCCGTGTCCCCAGGATGTGGGCTGGGCCCTGGCTGCCAGGTGGGGTCTGTGGCCGCTGTGCGCCCGTGGCCGCTGACCCCCGCCCTCCCGCAGCCATCGCCATGCTGAGGGACAAGGAGCCCGGCTCCTTCGTCGTGCGGGACAGTCACTCCTTCCGCGGCGCCTACGGCCTGGCCATGAAGGTGGCCGCGCCCCCGCCCTCCGTCCTGCAGCTGCACAGGAAAGGTGGGTGCCCGGACGGTGTCTCGGGTCCGTCCGTCTGTCCGCGGGGCGCTCCGGTCAACAGTCCTCGTCAGAAGGAGCTCAGCCATGTGTTTCCTCCCTCACTGTCTGACGGCGACCCTCCCGGCGGCCGGGATCCGTGGCCGACCTCGTCCCCGCTCCCCCTGTCCCCTGCGCAGTGCTGCCCCAGGCACCCTCCTCCTCCCCCTGACCGCCTCCTCCCTCTGACCGCCCTCCCTCTGACTGCCTCCTCCCTCTGACTGCTGCCCTCCCTCTGACTGCCTCCTCCCTCTGACTGCTGTCCTCCCTCTGACCCCACCTCCTCCCTCTGACCGCCTCCTCCCTCTGACTGCTGTCTTCCCTCTGACCCGCCTCCTCCCCCTGACCCTGCCTCCTCCCTCTGACCGCCTCCTCCCTCTGATCCGCCCTCCCCCTGACCGCCTCCTCCCTCTGACTGCTGTCCTCCCTCTGACCGCCTCCTCCCCCTGACCCCACATCCTCCCTCTGACCGCCTCCTCCCCCTGACCGCCTCCTCCCCCTGACCGCCTCCTCCCTCTGACCGCCCTCCCTCTGACTGCCTCCTCCCTCTGACCGCCTCCTTCCCCTGACCGCCTCCTTCCCCTGACCGCCTCCTCCCTCTGACCGCCTCCTCCCCCTGACCGCCTCCTCCCTCTGACCGCCCTCCCTCTGACTGCCTCCTCCCTCTGACCGCCTCCTTCCCCTGACCGCCTCCTTCCCCTGACCGCCTCCTCCCTCTGACCGCCTCCTCCCCCTGACCGCCTCCTCCCTCTGACCGCCCTCCCTCTGACTGCCTCCTCCCTCTGACTGCTGTTCTCCCTCTGACTGCCTCCTCCCTCTGACTGCTGTCCTCCCTCTGACCTCGCCTCCTCCCACTGACCGCCTCCTCCCTCTGACCGCCTCCTCCCTCTGACCGCCTCCTCCCTCTGACCGCCGCCCTCTCCCTGACCCCGCCTCCTCCCCCTGACCCTGCCTCCTCCCCCTGACCGCCTCCTCCCCCTGACCCCGCCTCCTCCCCCTGACCCCGCCTCCTCCCCCTGACCCCGCCTCCTCCCTCTGACCCGCCCTCCCTCCCGCCCGGTCTCTGTCTCCTTTCTGTAACCCGCAGCCGGGGACCTGGCCAGCGAGCTGGTCCGGCACTTCCTGGTCGAGTGCACCCCGAAGGGCGTGCGGCTCAAGGGCTGCCCCAGCGAGCCCTTCTTCGGTGAGTGGGGCCGACGCCCGCCCGGCCGCCCTCCCGCGTGAGCCGTGGGGACGCTCCGCGACGCAGGGCCGGGGGCGGGCGGCGGGGGCGGGCCCTCGGCGGTTTCCTTGCCAAGCGGGAGGGCGCGCGTCTGCCACGGATCGCCGCCCCACACCCGCCCCCTCCGTCTGCCGACGTTTTGCACCAAGTCCCTCCAGGGCAGCGCGGCGGCGGGAGGCGGGCTGGGCGGTGCCTCTCGCTCGCTGACCGTGACCTTGTCCGGCCCGCCCGCAGGGAGCCTGACGGCCCTGGTGTGCCAGCACTCCATCACGCCCCTGGCGCTGCCCTGCAAGCTGCTCATCCCCGACCGAGGTACGGGGGCGGGGCTGTGTGCTGCCGGTCTGGATCTGGCAGCGATGGGCCTGGGCTCATTCCTCCGCGCTGCGCGGTGGGCGGCTGCCGGCGGCTGGGCAGCCTCGGAGGAGCGGCCGGCCGGCCCACAGGCAGGGCTGTGTGTGCCGTCGCCGCGCAGCAGAGCAGGTCTCTGCCGGGGTGGAAGGTGGAGTCACTGCCGTGGACACTCGGTCAGGAAGCCCCGGTGGCCGGTCCCGCTCTCCTCAGCGGGCGGGCGTGGCCGGGCGGCCTTGCGGGAGGAACTCCGACCTCCCGGCCGGGGCGTCCGGGCGCTCGGCCAGGGTCTCCTCCTGAGCGGCTCATGGCCCCCCCACAGACCCGCTGGAGGAAGTAACGGACAGCCCGCCCCAGACGGCGGCCAACTCCGCGGCCGAGCTGCTGAAGCAGGGCGCAGGTGGGTCCCCCGGGGGCAGCGGCGGGATGCGGGGCCCCCTCTGGGTCTGGGTCTCCTCTCCTCTGAAGGCCAACAGTTCCTTCCACGTGGCTCCGTGGCTGGAAATGAGCCTGGGACTCTGCCGTGGCCCAGTTCTGTGGGTACGTGCCACGTCCCGGGCCCAGTTCCATGGGGTACGTGCCACATCCCGGGCCCAGTTCCGTGGGGTACGTGCCACGTCCCGGGCCCAGTTCCATGGGGTACGTGCCACGTCCCGGGCCCGGTTCCGTGGGATCAGTCCCGGGCCCGGTTCCGTGGGGTACGTGCCACATCCCGGGCCCAGTTCCGTGGGGTACGTGCCACGTCCTGGGCCCAGTTCCGTGGGGTACGTGCCACGTCCCGGGCCCAGTTCCGTGGGGTACGTGCCACGTCTGTGCTGAGTTTGGGGGAAACGTCATGAGACAGGCTGGGGCACCTGCCCCCTGGACTCGTTTTTCTCGGGTCCCCCCACAACGCCTTGTGGCCAGCGTCACCGCGGCCGGCTGCCTCGTGGGCACCGTGTCCTTGGTCCCTCAGAGGCGAGACCTCCAGGGGCTCCCGATGCGGCGGTTCATCTGACCCCACAAATGTGGCCCCTCGGCGCCGCCCGCCGACACCGCTTTGTAAGGCGCCGGCCTGGGCCAGCTGCAGCGGCGCGCTCCGGGCGCTCCCCAAACCGCCGTCCGTGCGTCTGTGCCCACACGGCGCCCCGGTGCTGCCTCACCCGGAGCTCCAGCTGGCCGCGACGGTGCCTGCCCCCCCCCACACACACACACACCCCGAGTTTCCCTCACTCCGGTGCTCAGCCCTGTCCAGCCCCTGGCACGCCGGGCACACACAGCACAGTGTGTCTGCTCCATCGGCCTGGGGCGCCTGTGTCCGGTCTGGGGCGCCTGTGTCCGGCCTGGGGCGCCTGTGTCCGGCCTGGGGCGTGTGTGTCCGGCCTGGGGAGCCTGTGTCCGGCCTGGGGCGCGCCTGTGTCCGGCCTGGGGCGCCTGTGTCCGGCCTGGGGCGCCTGTGTCCGGCCTGGGGAGCCTGTGTCCGGCCTGGGGCGCCTGTGTCCGGCCTGGGGCGCGTGTGTGTCCGGCCTGGGGAGCCTGTGTCCGGCCTGGGGCGCATGTATCTGTGTCACTCGCTCCCTGCGCCTCGGGCAGGGTGTCAGCCTCCAGGGCACCCAGCACGGCCAACGATTGAGCCGCCCCTGAGCCCAGGGCCCCGGCGACGCCGTGTCCGCACTGACCCCGCCCGTCCGCAGCCTGCAACGTGTGGTACCTGAGCTCCACGGAGATGGAGTCGCTCACAGGCCCGCAGGCCGTGCAGAAGGCCCTGAGCGCCGCGCTGGCCCAGCAGCCGCCGCCCCTGTCCACCGTGGTGCACTTCAAGGTGTCGGCCCAGGGCATCACGCTGACCGACAACCAGCGGAAGTGAGTGCGGCGGGCGGGCCGGCCGGGGGCGGGGCGGGGGGGGGGCGGGGGGGCGGGCTCTGCTCACACCTGGGCAGTCCCTCGGCCGTCCTGGGTCGTCCCAGGGGAGCGGCCCGGCCCCCTCCCCGTCCTCCCTGACGAGGGGCTGGGCCCAGGAGGCTGTGGGTGCAGAGGCTGGAGTGAAGCCGAGGCCGGGACGGCCCAGACCGGCCGAGGGGTCGCCGTGTTCTGCCGGAGCCTGCAGCCGGCGCTCCGGCCCGGGCCCAGCGCGCACAGCCTGACCGCTTACCACGTGCCTGTGCACGCCCTCGGGGCGGCCCTTATCTGTGCCCCGCGGCCCCGGCACCACGGCCGGGCTCAGCCTGTCCCGGCCGCCCGGCGCTCCCTGCCTCCCCGCCTCCCCGCAGGCTCTTCTTCCGGAGGCACTACCCCGTGAGCAGCGTCATCTTCTGTGCGCTGGACCCGCAGGACAGGAGGTAAGAGCGGGGGCCCTGCGCGAGGCCGCGCCAGCCGCACGGGCGCTGACGCTCTCTCTCTCCCCGCAGGTGGGTCGCGGACGGCCAGGAGTGCAGGTGAGCGCCCCACGCCCTCCGGAGGCCTCGGGGCCCCGGGTCTGGGCGGGCTGAGCCCCAGGCTCCGCAGCAGCTGCCGCTCTCTGGCCGGAAATGTGCAAACCGTGGGTGACACACAAACCCCGCCTTCCTGTGAGAGGGAGAGGGCCGGGGCAGGGAGGCCGCACCGGGCCGGCCCAGGCTGCCATCTGAGGAGCCTCCCCGTCCCGCCCTGAGGGGCGTGGGGCCCGCGTGGGCCCGGGAGGGACCGGCGAGGGTCAGCGTAGGGGGCCAGGACCTCAGCGCGGTGCTGCCCGCGGGCGTGCTCCCGGCGGTGACGCCGAGGGCCGGGCTCAGGCTCAGGACAGCGGCCAGGACTCAGGCCGGCCCGGGCGGCCCTGACCTGCTCCCCCCTCGGGCATCACTGGGCAGTGGCCTCCTGCTGGGGCCGCCGGCGCGGCCGCCTGACCCCCTTCTCCGTGCAGAGTCTTCGGGCTTGTGGCCCGGAAGCAAGGCAGCGCCACGGACAACGTGTGCCACCTGTTCGCCGAGCACGACCCTGAGCAGCCCGCCAGCGCCATCGCCAACTTCGTGTCCAAGGTCATGATCGGCTCCCCGCGGAGGATCTGAGCCCGCACGCCGGCCCCCGCCGGCCCCGTGTGACCCACATCGGCCCTCCAGCCCCCGAGACCGCACCCGCCCTTCCCGAGACGGACCGCCACGCGGCCAGCGCTGTCTGGGCGGAACTGGGCTCCAGGGCACTGCCAGCCCGGCACCCGTGCGGTGAGGCGTGAGGCTCCCCGTGGGGTCTGTGGGAGGGAGCCGCCGGGAGCCGTCCGTCCCCGCGACGTCCCGCCTCCTTCCTCCAAGCTCGGCTCCAGCACCAGCCGGCCGCTCGGCGAGGGGCTGGGCCGCGAGGGTGGGCCCCGTGCAGCCCCCACCAAAGCACCGAACGCAAGTGCCTCCTTCCTGTGCCAAACCCGCCGGGGCCGGGCGGCCGCCTCCTCGCGCCCGGGGCCCAGGGCTGCTGGCTCTCCCGTCCCGAGGGCCGGTCCCTGGAGCCGTCCACAGTCCCTGCGGGAATCGGGGGCAGACCGGTCGGTGCTGCCCCTGGAGGCGCCTCACACCCAGGTCTGACCAGACTGCGGCCGCCCTCCCTCCCGGACGAAGATGGACAGGCCTGCAGGGACGCCAGAGCCACACGGGGGGTGGAGCCCCGGGCACCACGGGCCTGAGCCTCGCTCGCAGCCCCTCCTGGACGCCTGAGAGGCCAGGCACCGTGGATCTCACGCCAACGGCCTGGCAGCAGCGTGCCTCCCGTGGCACCGGCGCCCGGCTCCCAGGAGCCAGTCTGGTCGGTACGACAGGCCTCGGGGAGCCCCGCCGCCCGCCGGCTCAGCCGGGGGAGGACCTGCCGGCTCCTGGTCCCTCCGTCACCGGGCACTGTCCTGGGCGCTCCGGGAGTGCGCCCCTCAGTGTCCCGGCCGGGGTCCCCTTAACCCCCACTAACCAGTCACTGCGTCCCTCAGTGTTAACCTGTAACCCTCAGGCCCGAGGGCCTGTGGCCTCAGCCTCGCACCCTCGCGTGTCTCTGCCTTAACTAAGCCTGGGTGTCCGTGCCTTCCTCGTATCACAAAGTGTATCCAGCGTGAGTGATGCCCACCGCCGCGTACCTATCAGAGTATAATAAATATTAACTTTGGTAACGGCGGCGTCTGCTTCCTGAGCGGGGTGTGGGTGTTCGCGTGGCGTGAGGGGGCTGGGTGTGCGTTTCCTGGGGGCGGAGTGCAGGCATCGTGACGGACTCGGGTGTGAACTCCTGGGTCTCTGTCCTCAGGATACATGTTAAAATTCTCCCGGAGACTTCGAACACGTGCACACGGCTCTTAAGAATGTGAGTCCATGCCCGGCAGGAATTAAAGTGTCTGAGCCTCAGCTTATGAGCCAGGAGGTCAGGGTTCAGTTCCTGGTCAGGCACAGGCCCAGGGTGGGCTGGAACCCGTGTGGGGTGGGCGGGAGGCAGCTGGCGGACTCATCACTGGCGATGCCGCCCTGTCCCTCCGGCTCTGACGGTGTGGATGTGGCTGTGGATGTGCCGTGGATGTGGCCGTGGCCGTGGCCGTGGCCGTGGCTGTGGGTGGGGATGAACTTAGTCCCGGTGGCCTGCGGGGCGGGGTGGCAGGTGTGGCTCCTGGGCGCTGAGTAAGGCAGGTGGGTGCACCCCGTCTCCAAAGGGGTGACGGGTGGCCCAGCCCCTCCCGAGTGCGGGGACCAGGCCCCGCTGCGCCTGCCAGGTGCGGGTGGGTCACGGGGAGTGCGGTCCGGGCCGCGGTGCCGCCTGGGCGCGCCCCTCCCGGAGGGACAGGACAGCGGCCTGGGCGCCGGGAAGAGCCGCTCCTTCAGCTGCCCCTCGTGGCCGTCATTGCGGACCCCTCCCGCGCCCGGGCTCCTCCTGGGTTCCGGTCCCCCTCCACCCCCTTCAGCCGGACCTGCCCCAGGCCGGCGGGGGCGGGGGCGGGGGCCGATGCGCAGTCCGCCCGGAGCGCGGGCCGCCCCGCCCCCTGGTGGCCGCCGGGCGCACTGCCGCGCGGGGCGGAGATGCGGGGCCGCGGTCCGGCCTGGTCCGCGCTGCCCGCCGCCCCCGCCCCCGGGCTGGAGGGGCGGGGGGTCCGCGGGACGCGGAGGCGAAAGGAAAACCCTGCCCCGCGGCCGGGTCCCTTCCGGGAACTTCAGGACCGGCCCGGCGCCGAGCCCGAAACCCTCCGCCTGGGGTGGGGGCGGGGGCGCCCTGGGGTGCGGGGTCCCTCCCTGGGCCCGGGTCCCAGTGGAGGCCGCGCTGGGCGGACGGACGCGGCCTGAGACCGGGCCCCGGCGGCGCGGTGTCCGGACCCCCCTCCCGCCCGCAACCCGGACCCTCTCCTGCGGGGGGGCCTTGCTGTGACGTCACGTGCAGTGACGTCAGCACCGCCGAGCGGCCGGTCCTGTTTGTCCTGTTTTCGGCTGACCTCTGACCCTGAAGACAGCTTTTCCAGGAAATCAGGAAAAGCGCTGCGTTCCTCTTGTTTTTAAATTGTGGCGCTTTGTCTCTGGGCGGCGGAAGCCCTTGAAGCAGGAACGGGCGGCTGAGTGAACACGGGGCCGGGCTGGGAGCGTCTTTTCCTCTTTCCTCCTCCTCCTCCCGTTCCCTGCGCCCCGGGACCTAATGAGGCTGCACCATCCCCACCGCCCACGTGACAGGGTCACCCTCCGCCCCCCCTCCTGGGTACCCCCTCCTGGGTCCCTCCTCCTGGGTCCCTCCTCCTGGGTCCCCCCTTCTGGGTCCCCTCCTGGGTCCTCTCTCCTGGGTCCCCCCCTCCTGGGTCCCCCCTCCTGGGTCCTCCCTCCTGGGTCCCCCCTCCTGGGTCCTCCCTCCTGGGTCCCCTCCTGGGTTCCCCAAAGAAGCTCAACCCGGAGCTCCGGTCATTCCCGTGAGGGTGAGACAGGCCCCACCTGTCACATCCTGGGGGGGGTCCCCCAGGGCTGCGCACTCGGCCCGGCCAAGGGCCTCTCCTGTTTGCTCAGCTTTCTGCGGGGGGAGTGCCGAGTGCACAGCCCCACTGGGCTGGGGAGGCTGGGACAGGGGGGCAGGGGGGACAGGGGGGACGGGGGGACAGAGGGGGACAGGGGCGACAGGGTAAGACAGGGTGGGACTGAGTGGGACGGGGGGACCGGGTGAGACAGGGAGAGACGGGGGGGGGGGGACTGGGTGGGATTGGGGGAGACGGGGGGCGGGGGACAGGGGGGCCGGGGGCCCTGGAGCAGCAGGGAGGATGCACTCTCGTGCCAACAGCCGGAAGTAAAGACGCTCCCCCAGGACAGCAGCTTCCCTAGACTGTTTATTTTTCTAACGAGGATTCTCTGAAAAACCAACAAAAAGAGGTCAATTGTCATAACAGCTTGAGAACAGCCGTTAGAAACCAAAGACAAACACTGGAGCCAGCCGGGGGGACAGACGTCTGTTCGGATTTCCTGGAAGGGAGAGGCACTCCGCTGTCCCCAAGGCAGAGCCCACGGGGCCCCAGGGCAGGGCCTGGTCCGGAGCCAGAGAGGCCAAGGCCGTCCCCCAACCAGGCAGGTGCTGGAGCTCGGGGACCCTGCCTGCCCCCCAGGGGTGCCCGCTGAGGGACAGCCGGCTCCGGGCCGGGAAGGGGCCGTGGGCATGACTTGGGCACAGAGGCCAGGCCATGGCGGTGACAGGGCACACAGCTCTGCCCGGCCGGGGAGGGCTGACCAGGCCCCTGAGCCGCCTCCTGGGAGGGACGTCTCGGGCCACATGTGTGTTCCTGAGGGCCGGCTCCGTTGGGGAAAGTCAGATTTCAGCCGCAGGGTGGGTCCTGCGGGCCTGCTGGTGGCCAGCGGCCGGAGTGCCCTCCCAGACTGATGCTAGTGGGGCCCACGGGGCAGAGCCAGCTCCCCAGCCCCAGCCCCTTGTTTCGGAGGCTGGAGACTCCGGGGGCTGCTCCCGGCCGCCCTGAGGCGTGGTGGGGACCATCAGGGGCGGAGAAAGCGCCCGGATGGCCGAATCCGCCGTGAGCACTGCTGTCACACGACCTTTGCATGCCGCGTTTGTATTTCACGCCATTCAATCCTAATTTCCCGGGAGACTTCTGTCTGACCACGTGTTGCTCACGTTTAATCCCCAAACTTGTGGGGTGCCCCGTGGGGACCGAGGCCGTGGCCGTGGCCGTGGATCTGCCCGGATGCAGGGCTCCGCGGCCGCCACAGCGAGCCGGGCACACGCGGGTGTGCGGACCGTTACCGGGCTAATCCATGGCCGAGGTGCCGGGCCACGAGGGCCCGAAGGGACAGGAAGCCTCCGGCCCTGCTGCCCCTGAGCCCTGGGGGCGGCCTCTCCTCCTGCTCCTGAGGGGCGCTGGCGGTTCTTTTCAATGTTTGTGTTGATGGAGGAGGAGGGGGAGACAGTGAGGGGGTCACGATGGGCCGCCTCCTGCGCGCCCCACGGGGCCGAGCCTGCCCCAGGCTGATCCCTGACCCCTGAGCGCAGGAGCCCTGACCCCTGACCCCTGAGCTCCAAGCCCTGACCCCGGTCCAGGGGACACTCGGCCACAGAGCCAGAGAGCCACGGAGCCACGGAGCGGGCTCTGGTTCCCGGAGGGCCTGCCACGCCAGCGGCTCCGAGGGCGGGTGCGGACTGCCCGGTGGGAACGTTGGGGAAACAAAGCCACGCCTTCACCGCACACCTGCCTGGGCCAGTGACCCTGCAGCCACCGGCCCTTCGCAGGGGCCGGCCCAGTGGCCAGGTCCGCGCCCGTCGCCCCGGACGATGGCTCCGTGGGAGCCGGAACCGCCCGTGTTCGCCCAAATGCCGCCCTTGGAGCCAGGACAGAGGGCCAAGCGCGGGGGGCCTCACCGCCACCCGGTTGTCCCACGTGTCCAGGCGGGGGGGGGGGGCTGCCCGTCCCCAGGAACCGAGTGGACAGCTGTCTGAGGGGTCAGGCCGGCGCTGGGCATGCGGGACATGGGCCACCGGCCTGGGAGCCACAGCAGGAGGAGGAGGGACCCCATACCCGCTTAGAGGGAAGCCCGGAGGGAGGGTGCGGGGGAGGGGGGAGGGGGAAGGAGAAGGGTGG